GGCCAAAATGCAGTCGGCTAATTTATGGTTTCATGTTTTGTGGCAACGCAGGAAACTGTGTAAATGAGTTCACTTCCTACGAGGCAGTGTGTGGTCCCAATAAAGCTCTTGGCAAAATATGCAGGAAAAGTCGATAGGAAAGCAAATAGTGGCAACATTGTTGATGCTATTAGAAGCAACAGGTCCATTTTGTTGGAAATATGGATGAAAGCATCACTTAAAGTCTTGCCATCCTGCCTAGTTATTCATAATCCCTCAATATTGTTTTCAAGCTCTTTTTGGCAGCGTCATTGACTTACATGAAAATTTTTAAAAATTTAACTTTCTACTGAGGGGGCACGATGGCTCAGTTGTTAAAGACACTGAGCTTGTCAGCTGGAAACCTGAAAGCCTGGGTTCAAGACCCGAGCGCCATCTGATATGATGAACTCCCGTAGCTTGCCCCAGCTCCTGCCCACCAAGCAGTTCAAAAGTAAGTGGAAGCAAGTAGATAAATAGGTACCACTCCAGTGGGTGTTCCGTGTGCCTTTGGTGTATAGTCATGGTAGCCACATGACCACAGAAGTGCCTTCAGACAGCACTGGCTCCCTCGGTTAAGAAACAGGTGAGCAGGCAAAGGAGTCAGACATGACTGGCAGGGGAAACCTTTACCTTTTTGATTTTCTATTATCTTCCTACCTTTAGCTGCTTGAACAATAGGAAAAGCCAAGCAGGAGTAATAGAGAAGCAGAATGAATTGTGACAGGCCTGACTTAGGACTTCTTTGATCTTTGCTGTGTGCAGTTGTTCTCTTCTGCTCTAGTTATTCAGCATGGCAGAAATTCGATAGCTAAGAAATGCCAAAATTCTTTCTCTCCTCAGAAAAATAATGGTACCATATATAGATCTATCATATATAGATTTACTGTACTATATAGATAATTATTTTAGAAGCATCTGAGAATAAGGATATTAGATCTACTACAATGATAATACTTGACAAAAGTTGGATGGACTGATTGGAAGATTATCTACCAGTAGTTCAATAAGCACATTGTAATGCCATTTTTGTTCTTTTTATATCTACAGAAGTTTAGGAGAGGAAGAGGGAGGTGAAGAAAACCTATCATACTATGATCGTATATAGTTGGAATAGAGCTGTTTATCACCTAAACCACTGTAAAATTTTATTTTGTGGTTTATATTGAATATTATTAAATATATTATCTGATGTAAAAATTTATTGCTGTCTTTAACCTAATGCTTAAAAACATTTCAGAATTGCCATTATCCCACTGTGAACAACTGCACTTCTGTTAGGCTAACTTTATTACTGCTCATGGCCATAGTGACTACCATTTATAACATCTATAGGTTTCCTGGTGCCAGAAAGTTGCTTTACAAATGTGTAGAACCTTCATGTGACATTTGTACGGAGCCAAGCTTACCTTCGCGTGTATGTATTCATTTATTTGTTGCATCTCTATAAAATGTTTAATAATATTTTCAGGTTCCCAAATGACACAATAAAGTATATCTGTAATTATAAATATGACTATAAATTGTAAAAAAAAGTAGCAGTGAGTGAAATGAAGCTCATAGTGCAACTAAGAATTCACAACATTTACAGCCCAAAATGAAAACATAGTGGATATTAAAAAGTTGGGGAATAAAACAATATCCACTTGATAGCAAAATAACAGAATTAGCTTTATAAGACTATTCTCCTTTTTTAGTGAAAACTTTCTGCGGTATTTTCCTCACTTCATTTGTCAGGAGCACCTGAAAACAACTTCTGAGAAGGTTTTCAGGGTGCAAATTGAGATGTGAGATTTCTAAAAGGTTGGTCCCAATTCAAAAGAGCAATGGATGTAGAGCCCAGAAACATTATGTGCCACTAATAAATCACTGGAGTAGCATGGCAAATTGGTCTGTCTCTTTAAAAAATCTTGTAGCGTTATTTTGGCCAACCAAAATTTCAAGATCCTTAAAAACAATACACTGTGGAAGATAATCACAGCAGGATGAAGAGTATGCCATTTGTCACCTGTGGGAAAAATCAGAACTAGCTTATCAGCCAAAACTGATGAAGAATGTTTATTTCTTGTCACAGAAGCCTGCTGAGGTTCTATGGGGCAACATTGGACCAGGAAACTCTGTGATAACGCCATTCAGAACTGAATGAATACTTTAAACCAGCAGTCAGTAACTTTTCTGGCTCTGCAGACCGGGGGAGAGGGGATGGTTTTGTGTATGTGTGTTTGCCATTTGCGCAAATGCAGTTTTGTGCACTTGCGCTCTTGTCTACCACTTGTGCGGCCCACTTCCCAAAAGGTTTAGGTACCTCTGCTTTAAACATATATGCACACACATCGTATTAGAAATTGTTGAGAACATTTGTAGCTCAGGTTTAAGTTTTGGCAGTAGTCTGTTCTCTAAGCATGCTGTTTGGCTCCCAGACTAGGTAACATCTTCAGTGGGATTTTGAATAAAGTGTCTTGTTTAATTTCTTCTCTGCTTATATAGGTGCTGTTTGGTATTTTGGTCAGTTGGTCATGTGATTGGTTTATGGGGCATGAAATTCAACTGGTAAGGAGGTGGTCGGTTCTGTTGCCGATTGGTGGTTCAGGTAGTCTGTTTCCTTATTGATTAATATGATAGTTCAAAGTCGATGTGCTTGTTTTTTTTTTAAAAAAATTTATTTTATTTTTAATTTTCAAAACAAACACAACACAAATAATCCTCCTTTTTTACATACTGTAGAAAGTGTATCAGTTGGTTACAAAATTTTCGTGCATCTCTTCCACAGTCATCAATCATAATTCATATTAACTCAAGTATTTTAACTCCATTATTTATACATTACCATCACCATACCTCCATTTTCATTTGACTACAATTGTTTAAATGTCCTTCATTATAAAATATATCAAGAATTAAAACATAATCACATACTGGCATTTCATTTGCTATTTCTGAAATCCTCCAATAACACTGAATCCTTATGGCCTATTCTAGCTAAACATCCATAATGTCTACTAACAAAAATTTCTAATCCTCCTTATCAAGTCACTGTTTACCATTTACATCCAGTTTCCTTATGTTGTACCCATACATATATATTTTCCTTTGTATCATTATCCCTTCTTTATTTGACTGTATCCTGTATCATAACATGAATTTCTCCCCCTTATAATCAAAATTTAACTAAATTTAACATTCTTTTTTATTAGCCTTTATATATAACCAAAAAGATTTCTANTGAGGACAGGATCAGCTGAGGCCTCAGCATTGAAAGCCAGCATCACAAATTTCATTTCAGTTAGTTTGCAGAAAATAAAGAGATGTTGGCAGCAAAGTCTGCAAAAAATAGTGGGTTAAAATCTTATTTTCCCAGAGAGGTTGAATCTAGCTGCCCATATCAACCTCTAGGGATGACTGCTGGGTTTGCAAACTGCTATAGGTTAGGCTACAGTGAGTTTGAGTAGCATATGGCTCAGCAAACCATGGAAGCTCCGCTATCATTTATTAATTAAATTATGGTGATCTGGACACAGCAGTTGGATTTTTTTGACCTGGGTTGAAAGTTTAAGTTTGTCATATACAATTAGTCATAATGTTGTAGATTCATGAGTCTCCATGCAAGCCAGGATTGCATGGACTGAAAGACTGAGAAAAATTGACTTAAATAAAGCCCTTCCTTCATTACCTTGTTCTTTTCTTACAATGAGCTGTTTAGGAGGAAGGAGTCCCATATGCTTTGCTTATCATCCAAATCCTCATCAACCCATTACCCTTCAGGAAAACCTTGTTAACATTAACCAAGCAAAGACAAAGAAATTCTCCAGAACAGGGGAAGGCTAATCATTCAATGCCTCTGAATTAAGAATTCCTTTGACTCCTTCAAATTGGCAACTGCACTGGAGTATAATGGGAGAGAAGAGGCTCAGAGCAACTAAAAGCCTCTGAAGAAGTATTTGAGCAATTGCATCCAACATTAATGTTGACCAAAGGCAGGTGCCTGTGTTTTATTATCCTACAATGACTTCTTACGGGCTTCCCAATAGGTGGTTTCTTAGCCAGGGTTTCATGAGCCGAGTATCAGCTTTGACTATCCGCCAGTTACCGTATTTTTCGGAGTATAAGACGCACCCTTTTCCCTCAAAAAAGGGTGAAAATCTGGGTGCGTCTTACACACTGAATAGAGCATTTTTGGTCTCCTGAAACTCCACCCCTTTGCCAAAATGGACGTGCATAGCCTTTAGGCTGCTTCCAGAGTGCTGCTGGGGAGGGAAAAAATGAGTAAAAAATGGGCCGTGTTTTGCTCATTTTGCCCCCCCCCCACAGCCCCCAGGAACACTCTATAAGCCTTCTAAAGGCTATGCATGCCTCTTTTTTTTGAGAAAAAAATGGGCCTCTTTTCGTGAAAAATGGGCCGTTTTTGGGAAATCTGCAGAGCACAAAAACTTTTTTTTTAATTTGCCTCTTCAAAATCTTGGTGCGTCTTATACTCTGAAAAATACGATAAGCAAGATGCCCCTAAGCATATGCAGTTATTTATTTAAAAAATAAATATATAAAGTCATTGTTTATCATGCAAATTTTCTGGACAATATACTTGATCACCTGAAATAATTTTAAATCAACCCCAGCACTAAGGAGTTATAACTTCCTCCTCCCAATTCTATGAACTTCCATTCTCTATTTCCTGCAAGGCCTTGCTCCTCTCTGCAGCCATTATCCAATGGGAGGAGATGAATCAAGGAGGGAAATTCTTCTGCTGGAAGGAGAGGAAGGAAGCAGCAAGCAAGGATTTCTTACTTCAGGTCTCCCATCCATGTGCCCTGAAGTCGCGCATATCAGGAGAAATGCCTGAAGTCAGGATTTGACAATGAGGAAGGAGAAGAATGCAAGACAAGAGGTAGAAAACAAAAAATCCCAGATGTGCCCTTACACATCCTTTATGTAGGAAATGACCTTCCCTTGTAGGAGAAGGACAGGTGGCTGGAAAGCTTAAGGGAAGGGCAGTAGGATGCTTACCTGGGTGTCACCATGGTAACCTCTTTGCTAGGGTGCATGATGCAACAGGTGGTGATGGTGAAAGTAGGCGGGGTCTGGGGCAGATTGTTAACGGAGTGAAAAACTAAACGGGACAGGAAAACAAAGGGTTATCGAATGAGTAGAATGGGGAGGGGATTCATGGAGATGGACAAACATCAAAGGAAAAAGGGAAGGGAAAAGCTTCTATGAACAATAGGGCATTAAATTTCATCCAATTTTTCAGCAATGATTCATAGCCTCCAGCTGGAAAAGGGGTGGAGAACCTGTGGCTCTCAAGATTTTACTGAACTACAGGTCCCAGCATCCCTCACTGTGGCTAAGATTGGCTGAATCTGCTGGTAATGACTGTCTGAAAAAGTAGACCAGTGAAGTTCATGAACTTCAATTCCAGAATTACACAGGAAGCATTGTTGTCTGGAGAATTCTGAAAATTAAAATTCATGTATTTTATATTTGCTGAGATTGAGAAACACTGAACTAAAGAAAACAGGTTCTCCAGTAGAAAGTTACTCCTAGAAGCCTTCTCTCAGACACATTCTCATGACCCCACCTGATTCACTGCCACAGGAACACTGTCAAAACACCCACAGTATATCTACCAGTAATGCTAAGTTTGGACCTCACCAATAGGCACATATTCCAATTATCACAGCTGCCAACAAATTATGACTGCTTTCCTGTAGGAAAGTTGAGGTGATGTTTACTAACTTGCAAATCAGGATTTCCTCAAATCTTACCAAGACAAGCTAATATATACCATTAGGAGTGACCCTGCTTAGCCCACTCACCAGTTGCCCTTTCTTTGGCTTTAATTGGTATTGAGGTAGCAAGGGAAGACAAGGCGCTGGCATCAATGTCATCTTCTTCTAAGTCATTTAGATTGTGGACCTCTTCAAGATCAGTGTCAAGTTGGCGGAAATCTTTGGTAAGGACACCTGGTCGAGGGTCCAAGATTCCTGCCAGATGAGGCCGGGCCAGCTGCTGCCAGTGGTGCAGAGTCATAGAACCTAAGAGAAGGCAGAGAGGTATACTTGAGTTTGCTGGACCCAATGGCAAATCCCAGCAAAAATCATTTGTAGCATGCCTAAACAGAAGTATGGGAAATTGCAAACCAACATTATAACGAGAAATAGAAATTTCCAAACTACATGGACAACACATTAAAGGCAGGAGGGAATCTTTAAAGATTTAAGCCCCAATTGGAGGACACCAGTCACTTACAGATAGTTCTACAATGTCCCCTGGGGTATCTGTATATTTCAACTCTTCGGGAATCCAACAGGAACTTTGTCTAATTGGTTGTGTTTCACCCATTTCTATTCTGTGCTCTATAAAGCAGTTAAACCTGGTTGAATGGAAAACATACTGTATGTTTACAGTCCCATAACAACTTTTCTAAATCTATAATTTGATTATTCCTTGGTCAGAATTAATATGTATTTTTCCATGGGACAGCTGCAGTATCACTTGGCCCAACAATTCTGGATGGCTTTCTTTCAGTACAAGGAAAGTCACCCCAGGTTCAGACCCATTGTGCCATTTCCTCAGGAGGTTAGCATGGTAGATTTTCTTTTTTTCTATCTTCCAGTTCAATTTCATAATTCACTGACTCAATTCTTCCTTTTACTATGTAGGGACCTTGCCTCTTAGCCTGTAATTTGCTTTCCTACAGTAACAATAACAATGAAAACTTGCTTTCCTACAGTAAATTGCTTTGCCTTTAAGCCTTTATTACAGACTCTTTTCTCCTTCTCTGACTATTTCTAAGTGCTCCTGGGCAATGTGTCCTACAGCCGTGATGGCGAACCTGTGGCACACGTGCCAAAGGTGGCAAGCAGAACCGTCTCTGTGAGCACAAGCACCATCGCCAACTGCACGTCTGGTTTTCAGCTGGCTAGCTAGTCTTTGCAGGTGCTTGTGGGCTCGGAAATGACCTGAAAATGGCCCAAAAAATGGCTTGAAAGGGGGCATGCATGCACCAGCCAGCTGGTCTTTGGGTTTCCGGTGCTCAGGTGCATGTGAAGACCAGCTGACCAGCGCACACATGTGCTGGAAACCAGAAGATCAGCTGGCCGGCGCTCACTCATATACATACACATTCTAGTTTAGGCACTCGGTTCCAAAAAGGTTTGCCATCACTGTCCTAGGGCTTTTAATTTATTCCTCAGCTTGTTTGTGTGTGTGTGTGTGTGTGTGTGTGTGTGTGTGTGTGTGTGTGTGTGCGCGCGCGCGCGCGCGCGTTGGTCTTGTTATATTTGGGTTTTCGGCTGAAAACACCAGCCTGAGGATGGCAAGTGAGACCTCGACGAAACGTTGCCAAGATAATCTCAATCTTACACGGGAAAAGACCGAATACAAACATTAGAAGAGACAGCCATGTAACCCAAAATATTGGGACTTGGCCTGCATATTTCTTAAATATATTTTTCAAGGTCTGGTTCATCCTTTCAGTAAAATAATCTGCCTGAGAATGATAAGGACTTTTTATTCTTAAATCTCCACAAAGCTACATGTGAAGATCTCGATTGGTGTGCTTATCCTACTAAATATTTTGACCAGTTCCTTAGCTATTCGTTCAGCTGACACATTCCTCAGATGAACTGCTTCTGGGTACCAAGCTGCTTGATCACGGAAAACTGGGATATATTCAATGCATTTACTAGACCATGGCAGAAGGATTACAATGTCCAGGGTTTTCGCCTTTCTAGGACATCTCGCTTATCCCTTTAAATCAGGATGGCTAGGAAGAATCCTAGATTCCTTCTCCTCTTATTTCTGCTCCATCCTTGTCCTTGCTTTAGATTGGGCTCTTGTGGTTACTCTCTGTATCTTAGCCCCCTCCTTGAATCCAATCTTGATCTCAATCCTCAGTAAGTGGAAAATCTGTTCCAATCATTAGGTTGCATGATAAGCCGGGGATTGCTCCTACCACCGTTACATGAAGTACATGTAAGTCTTACCAGGAATTTAACACAGCTTAAAATAAACAAGAAACAACCCCTCCCCCAAAGTCTGTATTTTTCTCCACATTAAAATGGGAAGCACTATAACGTGTTCNACTATATCTATTGTCACTAAATTTCATTAAGTTTAACTAGTTTTAAACTATGTACTTCTATCTATCCACCTGTATCTTTCCAGTAGCAAAACAGTCTCATGTCTTCCGCCATTTGTGGTATCAGTCCTCTAATCATCTCCTTAATCAAGTTTGTATGGACTCCTCTTAGCAATTCATTGCTTATTAAGTCTCTCATGTAATTTCGATGCCCTTCTTCTATTTCCTTAATCAGCTTATCTTTAATTGTCGGTGGTGCTATCAATGATGTTGCTAATAAAATTTCTCTCTTTAAATCCATAAATTCTTTTGTTTTTTCTTCTGTATCTTGCTGTGTGGGGTAGAGTTCCCCTCCATTTAATTCCTCTTTCAGTGTTCCACTCTTTCCATTTCCAGACACAAACCAATTACCATAGATATCAGTGGATTTAATTTCTTTATGATCATTTTTTCTTCGGTTTTTAGGATTCTAACCTCTACTTCTTCCACTTGATAAATATCTCCAACTTCTTCATCATATTTTACTGTTAGATGCTCTCATTTTTCCAACTTCTCCATTCTCTCAAATGTATTTGATAATTTCTGAATTTCTAACAATATCTTTTGCAGGCTTAAAGTTTCTTTCTGCTGTTGAAGTTGTGACATTATGTCCAGCTGACAAACACTGCTGCTCTGGCTTATAAGATTTTTACAGGATTAAACATAAATTCACAATAAGATCTTATTTTCACTTTTCTCTGGTTAAAGATATACTTCAAAAAAACATCTGTATGCTTTTCTTATCATCACTCTGTATAAACAAACAGTGAGACCTTGAAGTGCCCAGCCAGAATAATCAGTGTGGAAAGTAAGAGTGTTTTGTTTCCAATACACAAACTTCCAGCCTCTGAGCCTCAGCACTTTTCTTTCCCTCTGTTGTAACAATTTTCTTTGTTTAAACAAAAGTCAAATTCTTGAATGGACTAGAGAAGAAAAGAAAAGAGGAAAAAACCCCACAGTAGTGAAGAAGTAGAATTTTAGTCCATAGGTTACAAAGAATAGCAGAAAAAATAGAAGAAAACTTAATCCATTTGTTTTAAAAGGCTTGCATAAATTCTTTAAAAAGATAACCCACTGTCTAAAACCATTCAAAGTTTAATTCTGCCGCTTGTTTCTTCTGTTCTCAAATTTAAATTAACTTTACGTTTTTATAGGCAGTCTCTTTTAAAATGGCAAAAATTCCTCACCAGCTGGAAACACTTTCGCTTTCCGTATCCTTCCGTTTTGGAGCCGCCCCAACTTCATCAGCTTAATGGCTGGATTTTTTGTCGCTGGCTTGAAGAACTTCTATTGGATCCATCAGAGACTTTGTGATGTCCCTGAGATCAGTAAGACGTATTCTTCCTGTTCATCATCTCTGCGGGATGGTTTAGGTCCGATTGGACCATCCAGCGGCAAAAGTATTGGCTGCGGTCTTGGAGCATCGAGACTGCACATCCGTATCATTGCGACGTTGGCTCCTCCTCCAAAGTCGATGTGCTTGTTGATGGATTCATTGGTTCAATGCCAGGCTTCAGTGAATTTGTGTGCATGATGGGCTTGACTGCCAGCTGGTGCTTGTAAATTCTTGTTTTTAATTGTCATCCTGTTTGTCCAACATAGAGCTGGTTACAAGTTTTAAGTTCATTTTGTATATAACGTTGGTGCTGTCTTTCTTCCGTAGTCTGCCTTTGATGTTTGTTAGTTCTTGTCTGAGAGTGAAAGTGGGTTTGTGTGCTGTTGTTAATCCTAGGGGTTGCAGTAGTCTGGCAGCTACTCCTGATTTTCCTTTGATGTATGGCAGGACTGTTTTCCATGTTGCTTCTCACTGTGTGGTTTTCTAGGGTTCAAATGCCAGGTATCACAATGTAAAGTTCCTGGGACAGCCATTGGGGAGGAAAACGTTGAAATGACATTTCTCCTCTGCTTTTCTTGGGGATCTGATGCTGCCGTGTGTTTTGGCTCTCTTAATGTGGGTCTGGACCCAGCTTCTTTTATGTGCTGTGGGTGGCTGCTTGTGAAGTTCAGAATTTGGTTAGTATGTGTGGATTTCTGGTCAGAAGTTGTCAGTTTTCTGTTTTTTCTGTCTCCTCATATCCATATCGAGGAAGCGGAGATGTAAAATCAATAAAACAAGCATGCATACATATATTGGGCTCCCTTGATCCTATCTCTAATGCCTGAGGAAAAACTCAAGTTTACAATGTCCTATGGAAACCTTTACAATATCTAAATCATAGAAGGATTGGCTGGATTACAGAAAAGCGTTCCAGTTTTAGTCGATGATTCAGTCCTGCAGATAAAGATCCCACTGTAGGGGGGAGAGCCAACTTAAACCTTGAGAAATCTAAATTGATTTTTACAATGTTGTTAAGATTAACTAGCTGGAATTAGATGCAAAACTGACTTTAAAAAAGTTATTTCAACTGGACTTTGTAAGTCGTGCCCTAGACTCAACATTACTATAGTTCAATAATGCCAACCACTTAGTTTAAACATAATCTGATATCCATATTTGTGCAGAAATTAGCCATGCAACCATGACAGTCATTTTGCCAATAGGTACAACAAGCTTTCAACAGTGTTCTTATGAGCTAAATCTCTTTGGTGACTCCAATCCATCAGGAGCTCCTGAGCCAGCCATCTGTGACCAAAAACTGCCAGCTTGTGCCTTGAGATGGGTTACTTACATACTTTGACATTATGGGACATGAACACAGCAATCTCAGTGGTGATGTTTGCGCAGCATGCTATTCCTAGTGTTCACTTTGTTTATTATAGGTCAGCTGGCACAAACAGCAGCTTGTTTAGGTAGTAGCAGTGTTTTCAAACTTGACAATTGTTTAATATTTGTAGACTTCAGCTCCCAGAATTCTCCCAGTTAGCATTTTGGCAGTTTCAGTCCACGCATTTTAAATTGCCAGTTTGAAAAATATTTCTTTACAGCTTCGTGCATTACACAAAGCCAGAACACAGAGACGTTAATTAGCTGAGCATGTTGAAGCAAGCCAGGAAGGACAAATAAGAGACTGGATTCCTGACATTCTTTTGTCCAACCTCCATTTGAAAAATCAATCAGGCCTGTTGTATCTTAGGACCTTCCTATGCCTGATGTTGTGGCCCGCCAGCAGAGCTGGCAGCACATTCGAACAGTGAGAAAGTTGGCGAGAAACATCGGCCAGTCCTGGAATCTGGGGAAGGCTCTGATGTCGGAGGTGGAGAGGGGGCCAGAGCTGTATGCCAGTTATCAGCTGCCTTCAGAGTCAGACATCAGTGAGGCAGACAAACAGCTGGAGCCTGTTCCCAGTGTGCACATTGCACAGTTTCCAGACAAAGCAAACAACTAAAGAACAGGATTCAACTTGGGAGTACAGCCACAGGTGGACAATGAATGGCCCCTCCCAGAGGAAATGAAAGAGGAGCAAAAGGGGAG